GCCTAAAAAAAAAAAAGAAAGAAAATACATCCTCCCTATCAGATTTTACATGATAATTTATAACAGTAGCAAAATGACAGTTATGAAGTAGGAACAAAAATAAATTTATGGTTGGAGGTCACCACAACATGAGGAACTGTATTAAAGAGTTGCAGCATGAGGAAGGTTGAGAACCGCTGGTCGACAGCAATGTGTGTGTTGTTTTAATCTGAAAAACTGACTACCTGGAAGAAAAAGAATAAAGACAAGGCAAACCTTTATAAAATCAGATCATGGATTGTCCTCAAAACCCAAAAATATAACTACCATGTGACCCAGCAATTCCACTCCTAAGCATATACCCAACAAAGCCCGGAAGCAGACACTAGAGACTTGTACACCACGTCCGTTGCAGCACTGTTCACAATAGCCCCATGCAGAAGCCACTTAAATGCCCATCAACAGATGACAGGACAAACACAATGTGGGACTCAGAACGGGCACGTGACCTGTAAAAGAAACTTCTGGATGGAACTGGAAGACACGGTGTGGACTGAACTAGGCGTTTCAAAACCGCCAGGCCTCTCCGAGGGAGAAAGACGGGCCTTTCTACTCCTGTAAAGAGTTTCCGTCTCGGAAACTCACAGGGGCCTGTTCTACCCTGTCCCCTGGTCACTAGGAGTCGGCATCGACTCAAGGGCAGTGAGGTGTGCACACGCGCATGTGTGTGTGTGTCTACGTCTGTCTGAGCTTAGGGCAAGTCTGAGGGAGACATCATCATCTCTCCACCCACCTCCACTCCCCACTGAACCATTCGGATGATTCCCGTCAGATGAACGTGGGTCTCTGCAGCTAAGAAGTCCTCCTCACTCATGGCAGTGTGGGAGGGGGGTTGTAACCCCAAATCCCTTTCTACGGGGATCAGGCAAGTAACACAAAGGAAGCAAGCCGAGTGGGGTCTACTACATAGAGGGGTGTGTCCCAGTTCATAGCCACCCCCCACCCCAGCCCCATGCATGCACCCAACAATGCCGAGGGGCGGGGGCTCTCTAAATACCCACTAGCTTCCCTCTCCAAGCTTGCTCATGCTCCTGGGATAAAGTCCAACTTTTCCCAGTTCTCATCTCCATCAGCAGGGCATTGCTGCAGAGGCCCAGTATAGCTGAATCTTACTTTTTTATAACAGCAAAGCTGGAGATCTAGACTGCCCGGTGACGTCTCCCCATAGGAATGTGGGCTCGCTTGTTTCAGCACACTCGGTAAAGGCCAAGCTAACTGCCTGCAACCTCTTCTCCCAGCTCAGAGCATAGTATGTAGATAAACATCCGCCAGACCAAACCTACCTCCTATTTCTAGAGGCTGGTCTACCTCTCTGCTCCGGGCAGAGCCACATTCTGTGATTTGGAAGGACACAGATACTCGCCCTCAGGGGAGAAAGTTGTTTCCAGCTCTGTGCAAGGAATATTGCAAACAATTTCGCCTTACACTTCCATCATGGACCCACCATTTGTAGGCAGTTACGTATTTGACAGGGTGCCATTCTAACATGTGACATTCAGGGCAGCTCTGCAGAGGGGGCAAGACCAGAGTTAACCTACTGAAGGCACTGAGGCCCAAAGGTGGGATAATAAGCAGTATACTCAGGACCTGATCACAATTATTGAGAACCTATGAGCCACAAGGTCTGCAGTTCGGAACCAGCAGAAACACGGGGCTTTCTACTCCTCTAAAGAGTTACAGTCTCAGAAACTCACAAGGATTGCTATGAGCTTGCATCGCCTGGATGGCAGTGAATTTGTATTTGGGTTTCACTAGGGGCTGGGCTTCCACCTCCAACTCCAGAGCCCTGACTTGTGTTCTTTGAAGTGGTGTGGATGGGAAACGTGGGTGAGAGCCCTTTCCTCCATCACCGATTCCCTACCCAGGGGTGTTTGCTGCTCCCCCACTTGAGTAAACAAGTCTATCCATTGCCTGTCACCTCCAAGAAGCCTCCCAGGCTCACCTCAGGGGAAGCACCTCTCTACCAGCAGCAGGGCTCCCTCTGTGTTACTGGCCCAAGTCCAACTTCTTCACAACACCACACCACTCCAAGAGCAGGGTTTGGGCTTGCTCGTGGCTATAATGTTGGGCAAGAACTGGAGGGGGCGCCGTCATGATGCCTGTGGACAGCAGCAGTGATGGGGTTCACGACTTGGGGGGGAGATAGCGACTGAGGCCTAGCGTTGCTCCCGACGAAGATGATCCCCCGTGGGGCCAGCCCCAATCCCAACTAGGTGGACACCCCATCCCACCCAGAAGAACAGACACCGGAGGACAGCACTGAAGCTAGAGCTTGGGGAGAGAAGCACATCTGGTTAGAAACACGGGAGAAACGGAGAGGGATGGAGAGGGAGGGGAACACATC